AGAATTACTAAAACAACATCTACCATAATTAATTATATTATTCTATATTTCTCACCCCGTGATGTACGCTCTACAATTATTAATGCGGGACTATCTGATCATGAAGCAGTATATACCAGGTTTAACACTCTCATTAAATCCTCCTCGAAAATTCGATGTTTAGGTAGGATTTTTCCCGCTCAGAACTTTCGTAAATTCCAAAATTTATGCTTGACTTCTGGGTGGCACTTTCCTTCTGTGGAAGAAACTGATCCTTCTGAACTGATCCAAACAATCAATAGTATTAAAAGCAAATAATTCCTGTAATACTGATGGACTATTTATACAAATTTTCTTCAATCTCCCAAAAAATGTGTTGGAAGTCCTGGTCTCACTAATTAAAGATTTCTTTAAAAAATGTATATTTCCAGAGCGCCTAAATAGCCATTATTATTCCTCTTCATAAGGGTGGTGGCGAAAAATCGAATGTCAGCAACTGTAGATCTATTGCCTTACTACCGATACTATCTAAAATTATTGAGGGACTTATAAAAGCCCGACGTAAGTCCTTTCTCATTGAAAACAACATTTTAACACCAGATCAGTTGGGATTTTTATCTAATAAATGTACCAGTGATGATAGGTTTTACAGTACCAGTTACAATAATCTTTACACTGCCAATGTTTTTTGTGGCTATGCCAAAGCTTTTGATTGTGCAAATTATGACATTTTTATAAAAAAAAACTACATTTCTACGGAATTCAAGGTATTTCTTTGAATTGTTTCCAACCTTACTTGGGGAATAGGAAACAACTAGTTAGTGCAAATGATATTGACTCTAGTCACAAAAGCATTGTATGTGGAGTACCACAAGGTTCAATATTGGGTCCTCTACTTTTCCTTATCTTTATAAATGACATCACTTAAACTTAAAAATCGATGGAAAATTTTTCTTTTTGCTGATGATACCAGTATTATCTGGAGGAACTCTAATATTGCAAGTCTTCATGCAACTATAACTTCTGATCTACTTAAAATATAAACTGGGTCCGACTCTAATTTACTCTCTTTTAACCCAGATAAGGCAGTAGCATTATCCTATAAAGAAACTCTTTAACACTTGCTTCTTAATAACAGCCAGATCAATATCGTTGATTCTGTAAAATTTCCTGGTATTTTTATAGAGAGCAACCTTAATGGTCCATTCATTTCGATTTGTTAAGTAAGAAACTAGCCTCAGTCTGCTATGCAATAAGATCTGTTTCGAAAGAGATCAATTTAACATCTTCCAAAATAACATATTTTTCTTTGTTAAACTTTACCATTTACTAATATGTACTTTTCCTTTTTTCGAAAAGTCAATATTTTTGGAGTTATTCGTGACTGAAATTTCTTCAATTATACGTCAAAAATGTTTTTAAACGGTTTTTCGCAAATAATTCCCAAAGTTTAGATTTTATCAGAAAAACTATTTGCTTAAAAAAAAAATAAAGCTTTTAAAACAAAAAAATCATTTTTTACTATTACCGTTAACTTAATATCAACAAAGTTGTGCCAGTTCGAAAGTAGACTTTAGCACAACAAGATCAGTATGAGCTTCGTAAGAGATTCCTCCCCAAATCATTATTAACCCTCCTATGTAAGCCTCTGTTTCGGTTATAGTGCATGGAGCAAACCTTCCATTTTGACGCCTGTAGACACGCTGACGTCCATCTTGACCTCTTAGGGCTATTCTGCTTTCATCTGAGAACAGTATGTTCTTCAATTCCGTTACGTCAGTATATTCTCGAGCAAAACCAAGTTTAGCTCTACTGTGTTGTAGGAGCAGTCGTACATAAATTTCTTTCTGACAGTATACTTCTAATGGTAGGTTCACTCACACTAAATATTTCTCATCTAAAAAAGACGCGCACGAGCTTCAAGAGCGGTGTAAAAGTAATTTCTCAACACTTTGCTGACAATAAAGCGGTAATCTTAAATTACAGTGCATAGATATCGGTCTTGACCTGGCCTACGGGTATATGAATCTGTCTCCCGAAATCACCTGATAGCATCCCGTACTGTAATTCGGGGCACATCGAATGTAATAGCGATACGGCGTTGACGGTATCTAGTATTAGCTAAAGCCACTGCCCTAGCTGCATAAGTTGCAACGAATGACATTTTTTATAGTCACAAATAATAATCAAAGACTAAAATCTCAACTTAAGACAATATTCGCATACTATAACATAAAATAACAGGAAATGTTGGCACGGCAATAGAATTTCAACAATGTTGTACAACGATCACATTCCAAAAACTCTTTGGTAACACAAATTTAGGAAACAAACTGGGGTATTACTAAATAGGTAAAGAAATAATAAATAAGACTTACTCACAATCAATTTAATTTAACTATCAGACGACCGGTTTCGCTTTCTACAATATGCAAAGCATCCTCAGGTCTCGATACAAAGTTAAACAAGAGATGCCGGTACTCTATTAATAGATGGATGGTAGAACATGGTTGAAACTAGAAAAATGTAGAAAGCGAAACCGGTCGTCTGATAGTTAAATTAAATTGATTGTGAGTAAGTCTTATTTATTATTTCTTTACCTATTTGAAATGGACTCACACAAGCAACACATTCATGATTTGGGGTATTAGTGTTTAATGTCTGTCAGCGTACCCACTTGACAGAACACCGTGCCGTGTATTTTCTACCTTCAGTCAAAATTTCAAACAATTCTCAGCAAAAACCGTCTTATCCTGGACTAATTAGAAACCCAAGTCTGCTGATGGATATTTTTAAGATGAAACATCGTTTTTATTTCATAAGATTATTTGATATTGCAAATCCCGTCTTAGGAGGTCTAAGTGTCTGAAGGGCTCAATGGGCCCTGCTCTGATCTACCATAACCATAACCATAAGTCGACTAGTCTGAGTCCATTATCATTTCCGTGTTCATATAGGTTGTGTATTTACCGATGTTGGGTCTTCTATTCCTACGTTAGCATTAAAATATCCCATAAGAAGTGTGACATCTCGTCTAGACAAAGTTACAAGAAACATCTTCAATTTACCAGAGAAAACATCTTTAGTTGAATTGTCCTTTTCGTGGGTTGGTCTCTAAACCATATTTAACAAATTCTTTTATTTACTGGTTTTAATTCAATGACCGAACTCAACAAGTTCTTTCGTATAATAAAATTTATGCTAATTTCATGTTGATGGTTGTAGCTACCACTATCATATGCTATTAATTTAGCGATTTTTTTATTTCCAGTACCAGTCCTGATTTACTGAACAGCTGTGATATGCATGCCAATTCTTTCAAGTTGTATTATTATTTTTGTAGCTCCTACAGGTCTGTGACAGTTTGAGATATTCAAGATTCTAATGGTTCGACCTTTTTTTCCTTGCAGTGGTCGTCGTCGTATGTCCGTCCTATTCGGAGACATCGTGTTAGTTTTCATACCAAGAGGAACTTTTGCAAGGTAGGATTCTTAGCCCTACCCTTTTCGGAGGAGTATTTTTCCTTTTTCGTTAGCCCTGACCTTTACAGTAGGATTTGGTTATCTAATTTGCAGCATGATTGTTCAGGTTTACTAAGGGTCATTTGCGTGTTCAATACCCCACTTCTTGGAGATAATGAGGAAATTTAGTAGGATAGGCTGCCAGTGTTATCTGGAAGTAACACCTTATGCTGTGAATCACTACTCCTTTGAACTCCTCTTCTTTCTGCTCCTTTTTTATTTTTCACCGGAGATTTTACAATCTAAGGTAAACAAATTAATTGATAGATTCGACCGTTACTATATTATATTGGTGGAGATACGTAGACGACGTACTGGTATGTTTCACAGGAACTAACAGGCAACTCGACCAATTTTTATCATATATTAATTCAGTTCATAGTCATATTCAATTTACAATAGAAACAGAACAAAATCAATCCATAAATTTTTTAGATTTAAAAATTAGCAGACTTCAAAACAAACATGACTTCTCCATATTTCATAAACCTACCCATACTGACACGACTATACACAATTCGTCATCCCATCCAACACAACATAAACTGGCAGCTTATCATAGTATGTTACATAGATTAACAGAAATTCCGATGTCAAAAGACAACTTTGAGACAGAATTAAATATAATTAAACAAATAGCAGTAAACAACGGATACAACGAACAAACAATTAATAAAATGTTAAATCAAAAACTACACAAGAAAGCCCTGAAATTAGTATTTCCACCACCAGAGAAAAAACCCAGTACCTTCTGCTCGATTACATATACAGGCAAAATAACAACAAAAATTGCCAAACACATAAAAAAGAAAGGAATAACACCAGCTTTCCGAACAAATAACAACCTAGGCAAATATATTAAAAATAACAAGAGCCAAAATAAAAAACACTTAAATAGTGGTGTATACAAACTCCAATGTGGCGACTGCCCAAAAACTTACATCGGTCAAACTGGGAGAAACTTTGATAAACGAATAGCAGAACATAAAAGGGCTTTCAAGAATAGAAAAACAGATTCGACATACGCACTTCACCTTCTAGATCATAATCATTCTTTTAATTACAAATTTAAAATTCTTCACATTCAAAATAAAGGCCTTAAGCTATCTTTGTTAGAATCTATGGAAATCAACAAATTAAAAAACACAGATATAATTCTGAATGACCAACTTGAGACAAACAGTTCTCCCCTCCTCAACCTATTTCATTAGAGACTATAAATTTGTAAACCCAAGCCAAAATAGATCACTTGAGAAAGGCAATCAGCCGAAACAGCTGTAGTGATAATATTTAAAATAAATTTTGTGGAAGTTTGAAAACAAAGTTTTTCAGTGTTTTATTGTTACGTAAACAAATTAAATCAGAACATTCGAATAACATTTTTTTTTAGTTAATAGTAAAGTAACATAACACTTATATTTACCATTTTATATTACTCGAAAGTAATTAAGTTATAATTATATAAGTAATAATTAATAAGTATAATTAAACATTTTTCAGTTTGATAAGGATAAATCTGGAGGTGTAGAATTGAGTGAACTGGCTGAAACCTTAGAGCTAGACGATGAAATACCAAGACACATATCAGAAAGAATTTTTAAAGCTGCTGACAAAAATAGAAATAACGTCTTAGATTTCAATGAATTTTACAACATGGTCAGAAATGCATCATACAAGGAAGTGTTTTCTAGATATGTAAATTTGTAAGTACTTTGTTATATCATAATATATTTTTATATTCAAAAAATGATAAAATTAAACCTTAAACTTGGACAAGAATGGGATAGTTGTGATCAAAGTTGTTTAATCGAACTGTAGTATCTAAGGGAAAGCGAGAATTGTAAGAAATAATTAAAGATTTCAATAGTGTATGTCCAAAATACTGTACAGATAAAACGAGAGTCATCAGAAACCAAGCTGAATATCTCGCACATTTACTGTCGTATTAACAAGCATAGAAGAAATATTAGAATGTACATATATGCTAAGATTGATGAGACAACTAAAGAAATCGACTAATAATATAAAGAATAGAAGAAAGTTGTCTTAGCTAGGAAACTGGGAAGTTATATTACATACTAAAAGGTAGAAAACACTGTCAGTATTTTAAAACAAGTGCCTTTAATTAATTTATTGTGAAAAACAAATTAAAAATTAAATAAACCTACGTAGCAAAATTTAAATGTATATTCGTTGGTTTTTACAGTGAGACAAAATGGTATTACCCTCAGAGAATTTGTTTACGATAAGAAAAGGCTCAAAGCGATGACAGTTATTCATCAAGTGGATATTTTAACAATAAACACTATTTCCCTGTTTGTGTTCAGAATTGGTCAGTGTACCACGATTTTAACTCTGAATTCAATCAACATGGATCAATTTTCTTAAACATTTTAACAGTACATAATGCAAATCCAAAAAAATCAAAAGTCATGAAAATCGGTCCAACCGAACCTAAGGTATAGATGGTGTAATCAAGATGATTTGCGACTTTGTTTAATTTACATCTTTGGTTTATATACAGATATGTACTGGTTACTTACTTTATTTTAATTTAATTGATTGTTAAATCATTTAAAAGATTTAAAGTAGTAAAAGATAAAAACTGAATGAATTTAATAAAAACAAAAAGTTTTTATTAAACCATGCCATTCAACAGCCTTAGTTTAGACATGATTAAGAACCTTCATGAACGCTACGAAAAATGCTTGAAACTGAACGGAAACCATCTTGAACATAGACCATATATAAACATTTCAATCTTTATTTCAGTACTGTTTATTTTGCCGCATACTCTAATATTGTCATTAACCTCTTTCCATGCATAACGATACTTTGATAAATGTGCTTTACAGACTATGTTATTCTAGATATGTCCGATATGTCCTTCCAAAACGAAAACATCATCCAGTATGTACCGAACCCGATGGTTTATACGAAGAAAAATATACATGCTGGCCACCGCCCATAGCATTAATTATTATCTCAGCCATCGAATTGACATTTTTTATTATGAATGAAGAAGATTATGAACCAAATGATGAAGAAAATTTTCATATAGGCAAACTTTTTATTTATGATCCTTATAAACGAGAAGAAGCATGGAGATATTTAACATACATGTTTGTACATATAGGGTTAGTATAAATTATTTTAAATGCTCTTATACTTCATCTAATTTGATACTAACACGAAATATTTGGGCGGTAGGTGTGTTTTTTTTAGAATCACTTTGCCGAGTACACTGGCATTACAGCCACTAGACATATTTTATTATATACGCGTAGAAATAATATTTAAAGATTTCTATTAATGGTAACTTAAAGAAATATACAATAATATGTTTCATTTAATTTGTATGAATGCATTATAAAGCGTTTTTATGAAGAACATTTGTTCGGAACACACTGTAACTGTAATCGAACGAAGGTGAAATTTTGACATGTAACACTTATTTGACAGTTGCGGTGTTGACACTTTTTGTACTTTATTATTTTGAATTTTAAAGTGAATACCTCTTGTTTTATATTTTTACCTATTTAATAAAATCTGTTCTTCTTAGAACAAAATTAGTGTGTTTTATTTCAAAAATGTCACGTAAGAATTTAAATAGTCGTTGTAAAGAGTTGGTAATACTGTTACAATAATTATGTGACCTATTTGATTTAAAACGGATTTAGGATTTTTTTATACTTTGGCAACTATGTCAACTTCGATCTCTGACGTAGATAATGACGTGCAGCGATATGTAAATTAGATGAAGTATGTTTTATAATTATTGATTTTGCTACTAAAACTCCTTTATATTAAATATTAAATTTAATAAGAGTACCTACCCACAATTTTATTTAAAAAATACGGTTACACTTCAGAAATGGTTCTCAAAATACAAATTAAACAAATTATTTTGTTTTTTTTTTACTTGAAATTGGAAATAGAAAACATTCTTCTAGTAGTTAAGAATTAATTGTAGTTTGTTTTTATTAATTTTTTTTTCAACTTTCCCATTTATTAACGATATATAGGTACATAATATAAATGACAATAAGTAAGTATAGTTTGTTTATTTTATATTATTTTATAAGTCTAACAACAATTATTTGTAAGTTTGGGATGTACAAAAAATAACATAAATACTGAAATCAAATTAAATAAACATATAAATAATGAAATCAATTTAAAAATATTATTGGGGGCACTAAGAATGTGTCGCTTCAATCTTCGGTTTGGCCTCATAAGGTTCTGTGCTAGGCCGCTAGGTTCTGTGCCATATTTTTGTGAGTAATTACCGATTTCTCCTTTGACAATTTCCATTTGAAAATCACGAGTAATAATGAAGCATGTTTATAATTTCGTTAAATTATCCCCCTTAGATAATTACTTTCACGCCGCCTATGGTATATATTTTGCTAGAATCCTTAAAAATAACCCAAAAGCAACGAACGATTTGTCATCCCTTTTTCTCAACAACGAAATAGTTCGCCAAATGTTCCCTACTCTTTTTATCATTCATTTGATAAATAGAAACCCTTCCTCTTAACAAATAATTTAGTTTCTATTGTCGAGCTTACCTTCTAAGAAAAACGGAGATGTTGGTTTTATATGAAATAATCTTTCCTGTCGAGAGAAAGTGGTTAGGTTAGAAATACAACCACAATACCTTTGTCAATTAAGTATCATTTTTGCGTGGCACTCTTCGGCCAATACTCCCACTCTTTTTTATCCTTAGTTTGTCTAAGTATCAGAAATCAAGTTCATTTCCGAATTGGTTCCTGTGGCAAGCGGTTTGTCTTCATCAACGGTGGTAAGTGTATTTTCAATTCATTATTATCCATATATCTTCATACAGTGCTTCCTATATTAACTATTTTCTCTTTTGTCAAACAGACGTCTTCCAATTCGAATACACGAAGTCACTTTTGTTTGCTGTACTTCTACTTGCTCTTCTTGTTCTTCTGCTTCTCTTTTCTGTCTTCCTACAGTTCAGTCTAGTCTAGTGTGAGAAATGGCTGATGTGTTACCAGTACCTACTTCAATTTGTGAGTGAAGCCACCGTAATTCGTTACTTTGCCTAAATCATCCACGCGACTTAAGATGTCCCACTGTACCTCTTGCGAGCACAACGTGTCAAGTGCTTTTATTGAGAGCGAGAAAACCACCTATGAAAACGGCAAGAATGATACATGATTAGTTCAACATCACGGTTGCATGGTCCCAAGAATGGAATACATGGCAAAATAACATGCCCTGCATTACCCACAAGCCACCAGGTTTTGATCTTCCACGTAAAACATGGTCCACTCTAAACAGGATCCGAACCAGACATATCAGATGTGCATATATGCTACATAAATCGGGAAAGAATCCGTCTCCTCAATGTGACTGTGGGAAGAACCAAACGATCGACCACATTATTGAAGAGTGTCCCTCAAGATCCTACAATGGTAGCCCTGAAGACTTCCTGTTTGCAACTTCAGAGTCAATTGATTATGTTAATACACTTGATGTTTGTTTGTAACTATTTAAAGTTTGTCATATACCTATATTACTAGTGTTTGTAATTTTGTTCTAAATGTCTTGTAATTGCCATACGATAAATAAATAAATTGAGAGCGTTCTATAAGAGAACGTCATTACCTGTGCCTACCTGTTGCCGGTTGTATTGTGAGTATCTATATTTTTATTGACTAAAGCTCATCTGCGCTACCTAAATCGTTAGGAGTTGGTTTATGACATTATTGGTCTTTAACTGGATTTATAAATGCTTGACTTCATCTCAGTGTTAATGTGTCTTTTTCGCCATATAGTGTTAGTAAGACATCCTACCAGTCTATTTGCTTTTTGTACTTGATCTCTCACTTCTTTGTCCAGGTCTCCATAGCTGGACAGTGTAATTCCAAAGTATTTTATTTCCATTACTAGTTTAATACTATTGTTTTAGTTTTCTAAGATGAGATTGTCATTTTAAATTCTTTTGCTCGTATGTTAAATTTGTGGACCAATGTTTGCAGCCTATCTTCATCTTGGGCTATCAATATTGCGTCGTATGCGTAACAGAGTATTTTTATTTCTTTGTTTCCCATTCTGTATCCTCTTCCTTTGTTAACGCTTTTGATGATTTTATCCATCATCAAATTGAAGAGCATGGGGCTCAATGAATCCCCTTGTCTTATTTCGCTGCATATCTCTATAGGTTCTGAAAGTTGTCCATCTATTCTGACTTCCATTTAGTTGTTTTGGTAGATGTTTTCGATAGTTTTTATAATATTTAGGGGAACTTCTCTATTATACAGAAGATGGATTACATCTTAGAGTCTTACTCTGTCAAACGCTTTCTTTGGGTCAATCAGACATAGTCTATTATACTCTAGTGATTTCCCAGTAATTTGCTTTATAACGAATATTGCATCTGTAGATGATCTTCCACCACGAACACCCTGTTGTTCATCTGCTAAACTTATCCTCTGATTTATTAGCACTTGTAAAATTTTAGTTGTAAGTTTTAGCATAGTATTTAACAAGTTTATTCCTCTGTAGTTTTCTTGCTGTCTTTTATCTTCTTTTTTGAATAGTAGAATTACTTCGTTTGTTCTCTATGCTTTGGGTATTTTATTGTTTCATAATTTTATTTATTAATGTTGCTAATTGTTCTATCATTGCTGCTCCACAATATTTCAGTAATTCATTTGGTATCCCGTCTTTACCTGCTGCTTTCTGTTTTTCAGGTTTTCTAGTATTTTCCTAACTTCCTGTACATTAATACTCACAGTTCTTCATTTGTGGTAATTTCTGGTGTTTCCGGTTCTAGCGTCGTTTGTTCTTCCTCTGCGTAGAGCTTTTTTAGGTAGTCAATCCATGTATCCTCTGTGCATCTTGTGTTTTGGTTGACATGTATTTCAGGTAATTTTTTTCTTTTATTTATAGTTTTTCTTCAGTTCTGTACAAAACGATATAGTTCTTCGCCTTGGGAATAATCTATTTTTATTTATATTTCTTTCAACAACAACTTCCTTTGCCGAGGCTAAGATATTACACTTAGTTTTTGCCCAGCTTTCTTCGACTCTATCACTTTCTGTGATATATCTGTTTCTGCTTTTTTCGGTTATTCTTATTTGGAATAGGTATCTTGTAGGGTCATTATGTAAGCTTTTGACTTTTATCTTTGTGGTGTATTCAGGTGTTTTGTTATCACATGTATGTGTTTTCATTCGGATTTTGCACAATACCAATTTATGATCGCTTCCTTTTTCCGCTGATGTTAGTGATCTTACATCCAATATTTTAGAGGGGTGTAACTCTCTATTCGTCAGAATATAGTCTATCATAGATCTTTGTCCTCTAGTGTTTTCAAAAGGGTATTTGTATGTTCTTTGTGGGGAAAAATGTATTATTAATACGCATAATAAAGAATAATGATTAGAGTATGTAATTAATAGAAAAGTTGAGCGCCAGCTATTTTTGAAGAAAAATAGTAAAACAAAACGGAAGATATAAGAAAATTTCGCACTTGAAAATAGTGGTATCGCTATGTAGCGCCATCTAATTTAGATATCAAAAATCCATGACTGATTAATTCTTTTTTGCAGTTATACTCATCTAGTTGTGAATTTAGTAGTCCAACTATTCCTTGGTTTTCCATTAGAAATGGTTCATAAATGGAGGGTTCTTATAGTGTACTTCGCAGGTGTCTTAGCTGGCTCTCTAGGTACCTCGGTCACTGATCCTCATACCTACCTTGCTGGAGCCAGTGCCGGTGTTTACGCTCTTATAACTGGTCACATTGGAACGATATTTATGGTAAGTTTATGTTTCTTTAAAGTTAATGATATTTAGATTTAAAAAATGTTGCACTGTAAAATTGTCGCCTTTTAATAAGTTAATCCTAGTACTTCATTTTCTTTCGTTGTTTGTTTAATAGTCTTTTTGTTTATTCTTGCGCTGGAAAACCTCGTCGTTACTTGGTGATTCTTCTTCTCTGTCTGTAAATGACTTCGATGTATTCTGAGATGTTATTTAAAAAATGTGTTCGGTATTATTGTTTTTTGTGACAAGACCATATAAGATCGTAGCTATCCATTCCACAAGGTCGTAATATTTGTTGACAGATATGAAAATTGTTAATGATAAACGGGATGAAGCTTTTTTTAGTAGTCTACTGTTCTTGAATATTGTGATATTGAAGTATACATTTGTAAATTTTTGTATACATTTTGTATACATTTTGTAAATTACGTTGTATTTTGCTTTCTGGAACACTTTCAATGGACTAAAAACTACTTATTGCATCACTACATAATTCAATAATTTAAAATTGCTATTCCTATCACCATCCTTTTCTGAAAAATCTTCCAAAAGCTTTTGCAAACTCTTCTACCCTTGTTTTACTATGCTTTGTGGCATTTAACGTGTTAATTTTTTTTTTCATTTTTAGAACTGGAATGAAATGGATTTTCCATCAATACAGCTGGGAATTTTTCTCCTTATTACCTGTATAGATGTTGGTACTTCACTGTACAACAAGTTTTACTTGGAACTAAACGACAATATAGGATACGTTGCGCACGCTTCTGGTGCAATTGCTGGTCTGCTGGTAGGAATATGGACCTTGAAGAATTTTGTACCTTCCCGAAGAGAAACTTATATATGGTGGGGTGCGCTAACTGTTTACATTATATTTATGGGGATTCTTATATGTTTAAATATTTTCTGGACTGATCATTTTTTAACTGGTGCAAATACATAATGTATGATTATTTTAGTAATAATTTTGTTGAGACTGAATTACTACTGCCATATGGAAAAGGTTTAAAAATAGTAGAAAATGACATCATTTATGTTTATTTAAGATAAAGACTGAGAATTATAGTGTATGTAGATGATAAAATATTGTTTAAGGCAATTAACTAAAAAACAAATTCGAAGTCCATATTTGCATATATTTTAATTTTTCTATATGATGATACAAGAAGTAACATTACAATATTGTAAAGTTTGCCCGGTTGGAGCAGCATTCCAAGATCATACAAAGTGCTACATTTGACAAAATCATAAAGTGATATTGACAAAATCGATACAGGAAGATATTTGAGTAATTCTTTTTCAATTTAACAAATACACTGAAAATTTTCGGAATGTCTCTCGAACCATGATTTCCGTATGTAAGGTATATGCAAAGACGTTAAGATCTTTTGTCTGTATTTGGGGCCAAATTCAAGTTTTTTTAAAGAGTTACTATTACAGTTATATTAGTTATCTAGATATATATTTATTTTATAATCTTTAAAGAAGTTATAAATATGCGATAATTATGACGTAATTAAAAAAATACTGCTGTGGGCCATATTACCAAAGAATATAGACGCTTATAAGCGTCTATATTCTTTGATATTACCAATATGGTGTCGGCAATATGGCCACTCTAAACTAAGTGAATTTTTATAGCTAATTGTAAAACATAGCAAATACTTGTTGTTATTGTTAACAATTTTATTAAATGTTAAGCAAATATAGTGCAGAAACTTAAAAATATTTTATTTTTCACAATTAGGGCATAAGAATGTATCAATCTTGTCTTTGGCTATGAAACCCATGCACTCTTCGTGGACTTAAGTGTTGCATGTGCTACTTAGCCTTATATCTGTCATTATTCTTCTTTCTCTTCCTTGCATAATTCGCATAACCAAGATTCCTTTTTTTTTGGTCCTTTCTTCTCAGAAGGCAACGATTTCCATTTTGTTTTGTTGCTTTGGGTAATTTTCGTAGCATTGACGAGTCCTTTTCACCATGTATAATACCTGTATTGCCTTCAAAATTGTTTAAATCGCTGGGTCTAAATAAACCTACCAAATAGTGACAACTAGAGCTCGACTATTGAGAGTTAGTTTTATAGACTTTTTTATATTGTTCTTGATCGCTGTATTTTCAGGTGTTTGGAGCATATTTATTAATGAAGTATCCCAAGTAGAATAACCAAAAGAGTTGCTATTATCAATCCAGATAGGCATCTTTTGATTTATTTTTTAGTTGTAATCCCGAAGTAGAATGGCTACAGTAATATTTTCGTTGCAAGCTTTAAGTAGGCGGGATACAATCATCTGTTTTATTACCAACGTTAATTTCACAACCTCTTTATCTTACTTATGTTCTAGGGGCAAATGCTGTCTCTAAAATAGCGCCTGGGTTAAACGAATAAATTCCTGCAGTTTTCTGAGCTGTGTGTATGTGCATTTTATGTTTGAGTGCTTGTGCGCGAGTTGTGTGATTGTGTGCATAGGCGTAGTTAATTTTTTTTTGTCTGTATTTCAATGCTGAAACTCGCACGTACCCCCCTCATATGTACTTTTTTTAATATCTAACAACAATATTATTTTTGTATAATAAAAAGCAGTTTACAAAATTTTGGAATATTTTTTATTCAAAATATATTTGTTAGAACAGTACATTTTTGAAACGGGTTACATTTGTTTTTATAATAAATTATTGCATGATCATAAGAAAATTTTGAGTGGTCACATATAAAACATACATTAAAAAATCAGATTTGCATTAAAAATTCATTGTAACAACATATTAGAATATCATTCGTGGCTGAAATGGTAGGATTTTTTAAAATTCGTCAACTACACTATATTTACAGCAAGTTCTTATTCACAAAAAGGCACCATTGTTGCAAACAGTCTTGCATCATTGTCGATCGAACTTTGGATTTTATTATGCCCAGCTTAGAAAAAGTTCTCTTTCAAGTACAACTTGTTACAGGAATTGTGTAAAATTGTACCATAGTTGGTTAAATACTGGAAACATCGATTTTCTATTATGCTGAGATATACAATCGAGCCAGTCGAAAACTTTCGAAGGTGGAAAATTTTTATTTTTTCTTGTTTTTAGTAGTGAAGTATTACTTCAGCTTCTAATTCTGAAGAATTCAAATGAAAATGTTGAGAGGTGTATTTTAAAGTTTAATATCTCGTTTATTTAATATTACTAAAAATGTTCACAGATTACTTGTTTCTGGAAGTGGACGATCCCAATTTTATAATACTCTAAATATAAATAATTTATTTAGTTAATTTTTTTTAAATTACAATTTTTTTATATTCACACATTTGCCTGATAGCAGTATACAATAACATTTTTTAGGGTTTTCTTAGAGTTAAAAACCAGAGTACAGTAAAAATCTGATTATTTGATCCGTTTTTTGCTTAATCGTATAGAATTGAGAGTGGTGTTCTATATATAGCAAAGAGTGCCCTAAAAACCGTGCCTCAATTCTTTGCAACTATACGTTGTCAAAATAAAACCTTGATAAGTTTTTAGAATATAAAGTAAGGTGCTTTGGGAAAAGGGGTTAGTTAATAGAGGAATGTTGTTTTAAGTGGACTGTATATCTTATTTTATTTATTCCTGATTACTTTTCTCTTTTTTGTATAATATACGGATATTATTAAGGAAAACATTTCGACAAATTTATAAAAATATTTTTTAGCCCATTTACAAAAGATGTTTTAGCATGTTTCGGATTCAATAAGCTTTGAAATATAAATGATATTATGATACACCTTGTGTGAATACACGTTTTTAATTTTAATGTTTACAGATGCAACATTCTTAATAAACCTTCAGTGCATGTATTTATTCGCTCCGTGCGTGACCATGGTAGGGGTACATTGAAACGATGCCAGCGTGCGTAGCGGCGAAATATGACAAAATTGGAATATTGGACAAAATATTTTTAAGCATAAGTTTTATCAAAAATGTGTGCAAATACATGTTGCGTATTTAATTCTGCTAATAATAGCAAAAACAGTGAGTGTAGTTTTTATAGGTTCCCAAAGATTACATATAAATTAGAGAAAAGAAAAAGATGAATTCGTGCTAATATGAAAAAGTAAATATCACATAATTTCATTTTTATGCAATTGAAATAGGAACAATTTAAATTATTTACCCTGAATGATATTTCATAAGGCTTCAAGCTAACTACAGATGACTTTAGCTTTTATATTATAACTTTCACTATTATTGTTTTTAATTATATGCTCTTTTGCGTGAAAAACTTGATTTGCCAGTACTAGATTTTTCGCTTTCTTTTCCGTTTGGAGTTGAAAAGATATATTATGATGAATTTTGAGAAACTCAGTTTTTAATACTACATTTATTTTGTACATAAATTGAAAAAATATAGTTAAAAAACTAATTTATTAATAATTGTCAATTTTGCATGTATCATAGGCATGTATTTAACAATGTCAAACATATGTCATATATTTAACCTGAAAATTGGGACTCCAAAATTGTCAGATGAAGGCGGTAGGTGTTGCATCAGTCACGCACGGAGCGAATAGTTAAATTATTTATTCTACACTGTAAACTGTAAGTGAGACTATCACCAAAAAATATAGACGCATAACATGCGTCTATATTCTTTAATATCAGTTTAAAATAGGTACAAAATATTGTTGACCAATGTTATAACATTGTGCCATACGTCAATCGTCACAGTTGTTCTTAATTACTGTGAACAATATTTTTTAGGTTTTTCGACATTAAAAAACTCCAGATTTTTAATGAGTAGGAGTTTTCATGAAAAAATACTGTCAGCCATTTTTTTTTTTCGAACAGACTTCTTGTAAACAAATATGTTAGCAAAGAATATAGACGCATGTTAGGTTAGTAATATAAAAAATAAAGTGTCACAATTGGCAAATTAATTTTTTATTATGATACCTGTACAAAAAAGCAATTTTGCAATATGCAAGAGTAATACACTCTCTAAATCACTTTAAATAAAATACATATATTATTTTATAAATTTTCTAAAGCCTTTATTTTTTACAAACAATGTTATTTCTTTATTTGTAAGCCAAAAAAATTATAAACCAGTACATATGACGTATAATATATATTTGGTCATTTTCAAATCTGTATGTACGAAAAACATGGCGGCTGATGAAAAGTTCTATTAAACACTATTCTTCTAAAAATTATTTTAGTCATCCAGTGATATGTACACTTCATCTAATTTATATACCGATGCACGTCATAGCCTGTGACGTTACATGATACCAACACAAAATATTTAGGGTGTAGGCATCGAGCAAAAAGACAATAGAGGGAATGTAAAGGTAGTGGGGGCAAACATATTGTTAGACAGGAAGTGCGATCTTTAGAGGCCACATTAAACAAGGAAAGAGAGTCTCTCTCCTTGTTTGACATCAAATTTAGTTGGGTTATGTTATTGGTTATGTTATTGTTTGTCCCAAATGTCACATGAAATCTTATTTATATTGAAGTTTTTTAACAATTGTGTCGCATTTTAGACTCTTATCATTAATAATTAATTAAAACTTTCTCGTCTAAGACACATTCTGAAAAATATTATATAGCTACTGTTGATAAGTGTCGGAAAATTTAAATTTGGCGCATTCGCATTTCCGGATATGTCCGCCATCAGAGGCCACTTTTTTGGTCTCCTTTTCATAAGGATTAGATTCCCTCTTTTGTCTTATTGCTCGATGGGTGTAGGTGTGTTCTTTTTTAGAATCACTTTACCGAGTACACTGGCATTACAGCCACTAGACATATTTTATTATATACGCGTAGAAATAATATTTAAAAATTTCTACTAATGTTAACTCAAAGAAATACACAATAATATGTTTCATTTAATTTGTATAAATGCATTATAAAGCGTTTTTATGAAGAACATTTGTTCAGAATACACTGTAACTGTAATCGAACGAA